TTATTTACATATTTATTTACATATTTATTTACATATTTATTTATTTACATATTTACATATTTACATATTTACATATTTACATATTTACATATTTACTTACTTACTTACTTACTTACTTATTTATTTATGATTAGGCCATAGAACCTGTTGTTAATTTATTTGAATCCCACCACTGCCAATAACCTAAGGAGATCGTAATGAAAATCTATTTGGCAAATGACTGCAAGGAGAAAGGGGCTTTTAAAAATACCCCTCTAGCAAACAAAGAGTTTGGGCAACTTGCTAAAGGGACCGAAGTGTTGTAGGTAAAGAGAGGTCGCAAGTGGCATAGTTGCATTTGAAAAGAAGGCAGGCAAGACCAGGTTTTCAGAGAGATGAAGGCTGGGCATGGGATCTTATTTCCATGGAAGCTAAAGTATGCTGGATCAGCTGAGAGGACACACAGTTTGCCCACTCAGTTTGAGGTAATGGAGACTTAGAAGGGCTACTTGGAAGATTAACAAGTAAATACCACATGGTGCAGTGGCTTCAAACTGTCCTGTTACTAGTTTAGATCATACAACAGAAGGCAGATGATGGTAGTAATGTTGAGAAAGGAGAAGGACTTCCATGAGCTTGTCATGGTCACCATGAAATAAGCAAGATGCAGTTTACTGTGTTCTTTCAAATATTTATCTCTAGCAATCACGCATCCGGGCTTTCAACATTCCAAAGCTGACTTTGCATTTTGGCAGTAGCAATGCCTCTCCCATGGCACACATTACTAGGTTTCCTTCAAAGCCCCTCAGTTCCATTATTCACTGATTAAAAACAATAGACATCTAGAAGGGAAGAGAGTAGATTCTGTGAGCATCACAGATGACCACTCAAAGAAACACGGTTACAAGTGAGCAACTTGTTCTTCTTCGTAGTCTCTGTGGACTCATACAAATGGGAGACTAGCAGTCTTACCTTGGAGGAGGGTAGGATGTCATTGAAGGATGGATGATAGTACAGCTCTGCCAAAACCTGAGTCCTGACATGCCCTCACTTGTAGTGAGAAATGCAGGTTGATGGTTGAACCCACATCACTGCTTGGCACACCTCAAGAAGTAGGATCCCGTGAAGGAATGAGGTGAAAGGAGATGTTGCCCTGGTGGAGCGAGCTCAAACAGTATCAGAAACTGGAAGTCTCACTAGCTTGGTTACACAGTGAGATGGCTGAGCTAGTCTCTGAAGCAACGCTGGGAAGCCTTTCTTATTTCTCCCCAATGCTAGTCTTTCTCCCGCAGATACTTAGCATGCCAAGAGGGGCAGGTGGGTAAGGTAGAAAGAGAGTGCCATGCAGATATCTGGAGAATGCAGGGAATACTCAAAATCATTCATTCATTCATTCCCGCCTTTCTCCTTAAAAGGACCCAAGGCAGCCCATTTCATAGGTTGGAACAAAATGAGAAAGTTATACAATACACTGGAACAGAAGAAAAGCTGAGACCACCTTCAGGAAGGTGAAGTCAAGGCAGAGAACCATCCTATCCCTGTGGAAGAGGGGGTAAGGAGGAAATCTCTGAGTGCAAAGAGTTCACTCGGGATTTGAAAGTCTGGTTGTGGAGGTTACAGTGGCTGAATGGAAAAGGTAGTATAGAGCCTACTTGACCCACATTAATACCATAATGAAGTCAAATGATAGTATTGGTGTTGATACTGATGCTGGCAGTGAGGTCATAACTAGCATCTCCATGGAAGGAAGCTCTGCAGTTCTAGGTGAGTACTCAGTTTTGTAAGAATAGCTGTTAAGATCATGGGCTTGGTATCTAGTGGTCACACTGCTGTAGCAGAAGTCCTTAGAGGAGGGGGATCTAAGATGTCCTACCTGTCCCAGTCCTGGCATGGCCAGATTTGGAACCATGGATCCTTCCAGTAATAGGGGAAATTATAATATTCAATGTTGCAGAGGAATCAGCAGTCCCATCCATATGACTGGGAATGGAACTGGCAACTCTGGTACAGGGATTGACATTGAGCAGTTCATGCCAAGGAATTAGAGCGGTACTGGTGGCAGCTATTGCTTTATTGTGAGTTTTGCTGCAGCAAAACTGACGGGCCTCACATACTCTTCTGAAAAGACAAGCTTAGAAACAAGATTCAGTACAAAGGTTTTCCATGAACCAAGTTTCATCTTCCTGTGTGATAATGTTAAAAAATCTGATGGCACAGAATAAACTTTTCAACCAATAGTTAATAACTGCTTTATAAGCTATGGTTATTATTGGGATTGATGCCAATTACAGTATGACTAGAGCAGTAGGGGTTGGAGGGGGACTGCCAACAGTCGCCTGACAAATTTATTTTGGATGACTTCAAATGGATGTAAATTCCCAAGTTCCTAAATTTTAGCTCCATACAGTATCAGAGTGACTAGATATACATGGTCAGCATCAAGGACTAGACTAGCAGCAAGAAGATGGAGATTAGCATTAGATTGACATTAATATATTAGCATGGTGATACCAGTAGCCTTTTTGATGCCAATGGTTGGCAGTGCCAGTCTATCTCAAAATGGGAGTGGTGTTGGGCAGGCAACACTAGGGAAAAATACCAATGAGCCCAAGTACAAGGAGTGCTCTGGTAAGTACTGGTGCAAAGATCAGAAGTGGTCCTGAGACTGGAAGTACTTGATATCTAGGACAGGTACAACTGAGATGTCTGCAAAGTTGAAAATCAAGATGGGTGATGACTTGCAGAAGTCTCCAAAAGAGGTTCAATCTCCTATGAATAGTTATGTATTTCTTCATTTGAGCATGAGACAAAACAAAGAACCTCTCGATGGACCTCTGTTTAGCCTGCTCATGAGTGGGTTGAGTTGGTATAGGACTAAAAGTCAGAACCAAAGAACAATATCAAGGAGCTCCAATGGACAATTCTGAAACAGACAGAAAATGCATCCTGAAGAGAGATGACAAATAGAGGTGGTATTGAGGACATGGAGGTGAAGAAATTGTAGTTGCTCCAGCTACCAGTACTGAATGAATGACATCATCTTGTCAATCTTATTTTTACGCTGACATATCCACTGGGTCATTTGAGAAGTCTAGTAAGAAGAACATACTGTGAAGTCAATGCCTGGGGACACAAATTCCAATTTCAAAGGTGCTTTCAATGTCTTGTGTTGAAAGTCTTGAGATTCAGGTCCACAAGGCTAAGTGTCTTCGTAATGAATAACTGAAAGCTGAATTCATTATGGATGATACAGTTGACAGTTTCAGTTATTTGCGCCACATTCATACTATCTATTTAGAAGTAAAAGCAATGATAATAGTAGAAGAATACTCTATTATTCTCTTTTGTTTATTTATACAAGGAAAAAATAAGAAATTGTTATGAATAGAAAGGATTCTTCAAAAGCAGTTCTTACATGAGCTGTGTCCAGTGCTGGGAGAAATGGACTCTGATGCCAATCCTTTCTTACTTACTTTATGCCATTTTTTCACCAAAAACTTTAACCTAGGAAATAGAGCAACAAATTAACATGCAAAATAATTGAAAAAAATACATGATATAAAAATTGATTTAATAATTGGAACATAAGAAAAGCCATACTGGATCAGATCCAAAGCCTATCTAATCCAATAGTCTGTTCCCATAGTGGCAAACCAGTTGCCCATGAAAACCCACCAGTAGACTTGAGCATAATTGTAGCTGCTGTCTCATGGTTTTCAGCTGCTGTTGTACAGAAACATATGAGTCTATAATTTTAAAAATTCAGCTTGAAATCAGAGTACTCTTGCTGAGACCTCAAGACTATTGAATTCAGTAGATATCAAGAACAGCAGTCAGGGATTAGAATGGGAAAATCCAGCTCTGTTAGAATTTTTCTGGTTTTAGTGACATCATCATAACTGATGTGAAGACAAGATGAAGAGGAAATATATGTAATAATATGATTTCAGGACCTGTAAGAGGCTCATGGGGGGATACATTTGTGTTTTTTGCACTACCCCCAAGTTCTGTCTTGCTTTGGTTGGTTCAGCTGGAGATAATTGTTCTGCACAGGCAGGATAATTATGGTTTTGTGAAAAATTCTTGGAAAACTTTTCTGTTTTTTCCCATAAACTTTTAAGAACGTTCTCAAACCACTGATTCTCTTTTGACTGCTTTTGTATGACATTCCTTTCCTTAGTACCTCCTTAAGTACTAGGTTCACTATGTCTGTCTTCAACTTTATAATATTGTTTTCTATATGAAGATGGTATTTTGGGACACTGTGTATTAATAAACTGGTGATTTTACTTGCTGATACAATAGGTTGCAAAGTTACAAATTCAAACTCAAATCTGTATTAGTCAAACTTGGCAAATTAAACACATCTCACAGTTGTGCTAGAGATGTACATGTAAGAATCATATATGCCATTCTTACTTCTTTTCAAGGAGAGATAATAAATTCTACACATGGGAGCTTTGCATTCATCTCCTGGGGGAGTTGAATATGAAGCCCAGCAGCACAGGTGTCCCAGCGGTCCTTTCCTCGCCCCCTGAACCAGCTCATTCTACTTCCCTGGCTACTAGGCATCTGCATGCCTGGCAGCAGCAACATCGTACTAATTGAAGACATAGTCCTGCTAGGGCAGGGCTTCCCCGTCTCTCCCTCTAGACTGTTCAGCAGCTGAGCAGGGAGTCTCATCTTCCCGCCTCCTTGCTGGAGTGGTTGACTGCAGGGAGAGGTGGAGCAACGCCAGTGGAGCTACATCTGTGATTGGTGCAATATTCAGATTATAAATGAGAGACAAAGTCTCAGGATGCAGAACTTCTACATCCTTTGTCTCTCATTTATAATCTGGACTTTTGTGGATGTATCGGTTCCTTTTGTTTTATTGGTACAATGTTGCCTGGGCAAGCACTGAGGAGCCTAGTAACTGGAGTGAGCTGGTTCTAGGGGCAGGGAAGGACACCTGGGACACCTGTGCTGGTGGGCTTTGTATTCATCTCCCAAGCTCCCATGTCTAATAAACATAATACACCTGCCACAGTTTGAATGTTTAAACGTATTGCATCAAAAAGATTTAGAGGAATGTTTATCCCTTAAAAACAACACCTTGTAAAAAGCAATATAGGAAATGATTTGCTATAAACACTCCAAAGCACTAGAAGTTTCTTACCTTGATATTGCAATAATCACTCTGACCGCAGATCTAAACTTGATGAAAAAATAGCCCCGTGATTCAGAAACATTTAAATCAGGAGGGGAAGGATAAATGCCCATACGAGCTATCAGGGACAGAGTTGCTTGCTCACATTCTTGGAATCCTCCCAGGAGCAGCAGAAGGTATTTCTTCTGATAAACTAGAGCTTTCCGAAAGCTCTCTGCTCTCAAATACTTTCTATATAATTTTTGCATCTGAAGAAACAAACAGAACATTTTCCTTATGATTAAGAAGGCAGTTACCCAACTTTCTAGCTGAATTATTTCCTGCAGTCTGTTTGCCTACAGCTTGTTAGTATTTAATGGAAGGGTACAGCATTAAAGACAACCTGTGATCAAAAGACTGGGAAAGATATTGAGATGTCTACCTGTCTCTGGATCCTAAAGGGACATTTCAAAGGTTTACGTTTGGTTAAAGCCATACAGACTTTCTGCTGTGTGTAAAGAAGGCTTACAAGCCATTAGTGATAGGTGTTCTACTTAGGGCTTAGAGATGGTAACTTTTCTTTTTGCCTTTGCCCTGGAAGGTGAAAGACATAAGCTGATGAGGGAAGTCCAAACATCTGGGTTAGGCAAATGGTAGATTACTTTCTGTAAATTAGGGTAACATACAGTTTACTGTCTTTTTTCATATCTGGTTATCTGTATCCTCATTTTTGTAAACTTGAAATGATTCTTGTTAATTGGCAACAATCTGGTTTGTTTCCTATCATTTTTCTTTGTTCTTTATTTCAATAAACTTGAAATAAAACTGGCGAGTCTGGTTTACTACAGGGAGGGTATTAGCTCTATTCATAGAATCATAAAATCATGCTAAAAATACAGAATGTGTTATGAGTGACAGAGTGTGTGTGCTCCAGAAAGACCAGCACCCCAGGCCAGAAAAGAAGATGGAGACTTGCAAGGAAGATGGGATGGTGAGCCTGATACAAATCTGCAAAGAGTTGCAAGAGATAACGTTTCTATGTCAGTAGGAAACCTCAGATAGGGGAGGAAGTTCTAAAAGTGGACTGGTTGGCTTGTTTGTTTAGACAGGAAAAGGGAAGAAGACTGGATGTCACCAGTTGTCCAGACAAGAAAAGGGAAGCAGGCTGACTGGAACTGAAACTGTGGTAAATGGAACAAACTGTACACATGTAAGAAGCATTCCTGCATGGCAAACACAGACTGTACCTGGCCAGGAAATCAGGATCTGCCCCCTGATTGCCTATGCCCACCCAGGTTCAGCCCATAGGCACAGCTCACAAGGAAGATGCCTATAAGAAGAAAGGAAGAGAAGAGAGACAGAAGGAAGAGACGGTGAGCTTCGAACAGCGCTGCAATGTTGCTCTCATTGCTCTTACTGAGGGACTGATCAACTGTTGAAGAAGAGTTCTGTGTTTGTGAGTATTGAGTGAATGAGGAAGAATGAAAGAGGCCTCTTTATACCTTTGTCTTTTGTTGTCTTATGAATGAAAGCAATAAATGTTACATGAATAGTGTTTAACTTAAAAATTGGGTGTATGGTCTTCTTCTCAGTAGTCTGGTCAGGTTTTCTCTCCTCTCCTGGTCCCTCTTCCCAGGATATAAAGGACATTAATCCCACGAATAAGAAACAGACCATAAAATATAATAGTGTTGATGGGGCAGGGCAGTAGGAAAATAGGAAAGTGGGAAAATAGCAAGACCTTAAATGAGATGGATTAACTCAATGCATCAACAGCCACAGCTAAACAGAACTTACTGGAAAAGACAATGTTGCTAGGAAGGGCGAGGGGGGGGGGTAACAGGAAGCAAGAACAACCTAATATGAGATATTGTTAGTTTTCAAATCTGAGCAGAGCGGTTCATGATATTAATCATTTAGTTACTGTAAATCAAAAGCTACTTGATGGCACAAAACAACTTTGGAGATTCTTTTTCTTAATTACAGTGGTGCCTCGCACAGCGAGGGTTAATCCGTTCCGGATTAACCCTCGCTGTGTGAAACATCGCACTACGGAAAGTAAAAAGCCATTGGAACGCATTAAACATGGTTTAATGCGTTCCAATTTGGCCGAATACTCACCGTTGTGCGATGTTCCGGTATAGCCGGCAGCCATTTTCGCGCCCTCCCCTCGCTGAACGAGGGCGCGAAAACGCTGCGATCAGCTGTCCGGCAGGTCCAAAATGGCCGCCGGAACAGCCGAAATGGCGGGGCGCAGCATTTTCGCGCCCTTGGTAAGCAAGGGGAGCGCGCAAAAACGCTGCCGGATGCCCCGAAATGGTTGCACGCAGCCATTTCGGGGCTTCCACAGCGTTTTCGCGCGCTCCCGTTGCTTACCAAGGGCGCGAAAATGCTGCGCCCCGCCATTTCGGCTGTTCCGGCAGCCATTTTGAAGCCACGGAACAGGTGATC